CAGTTTCCCACTGCTGCTAGCACAGACAGATGTGCTTACTGTGTCCACGGGCCTCCCAGGCCTGTCACAGGCTACTTTGTGCTCCTACTCTCTGTCCCAGGGAATGCCCATCAGGTTACTGTCCAGCCTTGAGGCCTCCTCACATATTGTCTCCTCAGTGTGGGTTGTGAGCTGTCCTCCTCCAGGGCCATGGAGATACTCTGGTTTCCTGCTACACTGTCACCTGTCAGGGCAGGAAAAGGTCTTGCTGAATCACCGCCCCAGCACCTGCTCAATAACTGGCACTTGTTTGTGAGTTAATTAGTGCATGAAGTAGAACGTTAGTCTCGGGAGCCAATATGTAGAAATGCGTGCAGGAATGCCTCTGGGTGGGTGTATTCTAAGAAGGGAGGACAGCTTCTGCAGTAGTCCTGAGTGAGGACTGCACAGACTGCAGGGGATGTGTGAGAGGGGAGGGTGAGATGTGACAGGGACCAGCAGAGGAGAAGGGCTTGGTGAACCATTGGGCCTCATCCAGCAGGATTTTAAGCAGCCTTGAAGCAAGAGCACCTTGCTGCAGTACTCCAGCAAGCCTGGAGAGAGAGCCCTGCCGGAGAAGGCAAGCAGTGAGTCTAGATGCAACAAGACTGGCTGGATTTGTCCAGAACCATGCCAACAGGGTCATTCTGGCTTCTGATGCCCCAGTGCACCCCTCATAGTCTCTTCCCCATGGGAATCAGTAGGCGGTCCGAGGTCAGGGTATGTGACTTAGCAGTTGGTGTCTGTCGTAGTTTGTGGTCAGCCTGTGCTTAGACCTGCTTAGAGACAATGTTGGACACAGCAGGCCCAGGGTTCAGCAGACCCAGGGAGGGGTCCTTGAGTTAAGCCTGGGATACTGGGGAGCAGAGATCCTCCAAAGCTACAGATGAGTCCTGATCATTGAGCAATAGTGACACATGTACCCTCCATGCTGGTGTGAGACCCTTTCCCAGAGCCAGGCTGATCCAGGTCCAAAAACCCAAATCTCTCATAATCAGTACTCAGGCCTGAAGAGGTCACATCACCTCCTGGGGCTTCCCCATGAAATGAGGCCACTGTCCCCAAGAGATGCCCTTGTCCTGATCCTGGCTCTAGGGCCCTAAATATACATATGTGCAAATACAAAGATTTTTTTCCTTTTGATCTTGTCAGGAAAGTTTTTGAAAGTTCAGGAACTGGGTCAGAACACAGATAAAGGAAGAGGGACTTGTGTATGCATGGGCTACCTGCAGCTGAAAGGGTAGGAATATGGGGCAATGGAGAGCCACAGCCTGCTGGCTGCCCTAGGAACTAGGGAGGGAGAGAGGAAATGCTTTCATTTCAATTACCAGCAGACCAGATTCACAGCTAACTTCTTCCTCCACTTGGTAGCCTCCTTTGAGGTGGCATGACTAGCACTACCCAGAAGTCTAGGGAAAAGCCAAGTGTTGGATAGGGGAACACACGAGTAAGTCTAATGGGTCAGGTCCCATTCCCAGTCCTGGAGGGTTCTGTGGTTTCAGGCAGCCAGGCCAGGCCTGGCTCCCTCCTACTCTATCCATATGTTCCCACCACTCCTGTGGGCTATCGGCCTGGCTGAGCCTTCCCCTCTGGAAGGGGACCCTTGGAAGCCTCTCCTCTCTGGAAGAGGACCCCCTGAAAGGGGATTACTGAGCCCTGAGTGGGGAATGTGGGTTGGGTCATGCATGCAGCTTGACTTATGGCTTGAATATTCAGACATGTGGCATGTTCTGGGCTTTGCAAATGTCAAGAGCTGCCTTAAGAAAGATAGAGTGGAGATACCCAACATGGATTTTTGTGTACAACAGGGCTAAGTGAACAGTCTCTCCTGGTAAATGGAGGCAGATGGCTCCACGTGGCCTCCATGGATTTGCCAAGGGGCTCTGATGTTGGCTGTGTGCTGCTGTTTCCTCTGCAGCATCATGGCCCCCTCCCCATGGGCCAGACCAGCTGTCAGCCCACAGCCCTGTTCCCTGGGCACGTGCTCTCCTTAGCCGGGTCCCCCAGGACTCCAGAGCAAAGCTTCCCAGAGGCTGAAGAGCACAGTATGAATATTGCATGAATAATAATAACCTCACCACTTAGCGGTTATGCAACGCTTTCCTCTCCCACAATACTTTACCATCATTAATTAGTTATTCTGCACTGCTTCCAGCCTCCCCTGCTCTCTTGCAAAGGCATGAGATTCTCTTGAAAACAGGCTTGTTCTGGTCTAAAGCACCAACACTTGAATGACCAGGCCCTTTCCTGTTGGAAACACACAGGCTTTGGGAGACCTTGACTTTGCCACTTCTTAAAACACCAGAGATCTGTGCCCTGCTGGGATGCATCACCTCCTTTCAGTTCTAAGTACCTTCTCAGAGCTGCCTTCTGGTGCACTCTGATCCCCTTTTCCCATGGCCTCCAGGATAGTGGAGGACACTATCTCAAGTGGATGGTATGCTTACTTGTGGAAGGACATCTTCAGCCTGCACCTCCTTCCATGTACACATATCATCAGGCAATTTGCCCACCATGCTCTGTGTGTGAAGGGGCCACTGAGACTGGAGCCATGTCATGTCTAGTCCAAGGCCACTGGTGAAGCAATAAGTGACAGAATAAGGACTCAGATCTCATGGTTCCAAATATCCTTCCTTCCTACACACTGTGAAGTCCTAGGGAGGTTGTAGGTTTCCACAGGGAAGCAGCATGTTCATCTGTGGGACTTCTTGTCTGGTCCTCCCAAAACACCTCTGTCCACCTCACCAAGACAGCCTCAAGCACTCCTGTCTTCCAGCACCCTTGTCTTCCTTGAGGTTTCAGTAGCTCCCTTGCCAGGTGTACCTTGGTGTTCACTTATGTCACCACCACCTGGTAAGAATGGACCTGGGACACCGGGGAGGCCCTGCTGCTTTGGAAGAGCTCCAGCCCTGGGTCTGTCTCAGGCCCAGGCCAGCTCCCGGCCTCCAGCTCCTCCATTAGCCTGAAGAGGTATTGATCAGTTTGGCTTCTGCAAGCCTGAGTGTTTTAATCCCAGTGTGTGAATCTTTAAGAATTAATTAGCAAAGATTGCTTAGGAAAAACAAAGTGGGCACAAGTTTTGATACCTCTTGGTCACCCACCATTATCATTTCCCTCTTAATTATGATGCTATTTCTGGGAGCTGGAGGCAAGCTCTTGGCGCTTCTTAGCCTGGGTAGGACTCTCCCACTTCCTGGTGACTCTCTGTGGCCTCCTGCTTCCAGTTCCTGCCCAGGGCAGTGTAGGGCAGGGAAAAAGCACAGAGGCATTGAAGTAGGCAAAATGTGAACCAGGCCCAGCCCTACCACACCTGTGGAGGGATTTGACTACAGTCCTCAAAGCCTGCCACGGGACTACCGCCTCTGCTTGTCCAGAGCCCTTATCTGCCCACAGTGTGGCCACACCTTAGGCCAGTACCCCTGGCTGCTGTGACCCTGCTGAACCACCTTTAGCTCCCAAGCCCACTGCATCCCCTTGAGTCACCTGGCCTTTGCTCATGCCTCTTCTTCTGCCACTTTCCCTGCCTAACCCCATTCTCACCCTTGTCACCATCTCATCTCAACTTCATTAGCTCCAGCTGGTTCTTTTGTTTTGTATTTAGATAATGATCCCTCCAGGGAAGCTTCTTTGACACTCTGGTTGGGTTAGGTGCCCCCTTGGACCTCCCAGCTGGCTAATTGCTATGTACTTTCATACCTCAGCAGGGACCTCTATGTGTGAAATTCCTTACTCACTGCCCATCTTCCCAGAGCCTCACGGCTAGGCAACCAGGGGTCCTGAACCAGGGTTGCCGAGCAAGTGGTCTGCTCTGACTCCATACGTGTTCTCTTTTTTTTTTTTTGAGTTGGAGCCTCACTCAGTCGCCCAGACTGGAGTGCAGTGGCTGCTCCCGGCCACCGTAACCTCTCCTGCTGGGCTCTGGTGATCCTTCCGCCTCAGCCTTCCAAGTAGCCGGAATTACAGGCATGAACTACCATGCCAGGCTGATTTTTTATTTATTGTAGAGATGAGGTCTTGCTGCCCAGGTGGGTCTCGAACCTGTGGGCTCAGGCAATCCACTCACCTCAGCCTCCCAAAGGCACGGGATTACAGGCTGAGCCCCCGAGTCCAGCTAGGTGTTCTCTTTCCATGGATGGGGACTCCACAGATATTAAGGAGGCCGCCAAAGGCCCCTGTGCTGTCCCTGGGTCCTTCTCTGCTTTGTACTCCAAAGTCCTGTGTGTTCCTTTTGCTGAGACCCACACAGCTCTCCCAGGAAGGTGTGGGTTCTGTTCTAGCCTAGGTCCTCTCACAGAAAGAAAGGAGCACAAACAGCTGTGGGAGGGGGTGGTGCACATCCTGTTTACTTGAAGTTTGGCCACTAGAGTCAGGCTCTGGTGAGACCAGAAGACGGTGATCGAGGAAAAACAACCTCAGGTGGTTTCTGGGCTTGTAATGGGGAGTTTGAGGTTTCTACAAATTATGGCAGTGTATAAAAAGGCTCTAGACCCTGGAGAAAGCCAAGTGATGCTAGGAGTGGTAGGACCATATAACTGAGGACCTCTCATTTGCCCCAGGCACTCGGTTCTGAAAAGGATGGAAGAAGCAATGCTGCACTTGGGGTGAATGTGCTTCGTTTTTAGTTTCAAATGACCCCATTGAGGGCCAGAAGGGCCAGGGCCACTGACCTTGTTTTTCTGAGAAGCAGATCCATTTTTGAGCCCTAAGTCAGGAGAGGGACGGCTGGCACCCACACCATTCAAGCCAGTTGAATTAGAAAATTGTGCCTTGTGTTCCACCCTGACTCCAGGGTCTACTGACATTGCTGGGAAGCTCAGGACAAGTGAGCAGAAAGTCAGGAACTCTCTCTGGTGAGCCTTTTCTACACAGCAGGTCCTGTGTTCCCATTTTCAGATGAGAAGAGTGAGGCCCAGTATCAAACAATGGTGTGAAGCACAGTGGACTCTCCCCTTTGACTCTTCATGTTCAATTCCCTTTCTAAGCCTCTGGTATGCCGCACAGTGCCAGCCAGGCCTTCGGGGCTCACAGTCTGCTGGAAAATGGAACAATTCACAGCGGCAGCCTCTGGTGTTCACAGTCTCAGAGTCACACGTACAATGCCATTGTTGTAACTGCACCGCGAGTGAGGAGTCGGAGTTACCTTGGTTAGGTCACTGACAACCATTTCACTATGGTTCGAGTTGTTTCCCTGTGACTGAACTTTACTTGGCCCCTGAGGTCCCGTATCACTCAGCACTACACACTTGATTTTATCTCTTCAAGCTACTTCTGGTTTAACACTTGGTAACTTTGGGGTAAGTGCTCAGTCAGTTTAGGATTCACCATCCTCCTTTCCCCTGAGTTGCTCAGGAGAGGAATCCAGTTTCCAAGAGGACTCATGCATTCTGTTGCTCCTGGGAAGAAACAGCTCACTTTGGACTCTGGGTGGCCTTCATGCCTCAGAGCAACCTGCTGACCAGTGCAAACAGTGCAGGGGAGAGGTGTGATCCTGGACCAACAGAGAGCAAGAGGGACTTTCTGATGAGGTAGTTTTTATGCTAAATCCTGAAAGATAAGTAAGCACTTTGAACAGGGACAAGGGAAAGACATTGTATCAAGGAGCACAGTATGTGCAAAGGCCCAGAGGTGTACAGTGTTGTGTTTGCAGATCCTGGCCAGGTTTATTAGCGGCTGTGCTGTGTAGCTCCTCATTCCCAGCCGGCATCCTCTGCTCCCATCTCCTGATTTTTCAGTGATGCCCTGTCACAACCTGCCACCTAAGTCATCAGTATTCTTTGGCTTGCAGATGAGGGTTACTTAGCTCAGATAAGATTAAGAAGAGAAGACATTTTGACACAACTAGAGAGGTGCTTCCTACACAGCTGGATTCAGGGGCTTAAAAGCTGTCTTTAGAACTTGGATTTAGCTCATCCTTCTTCAGCAGGTACTTCAGTCTCAGCAGGTTTCCCCACAGTTGGAGCCTCCAGATCTTCCACGGCCCCACAGGTATCAGTTTCAGATGACTTTCCTGCTCCTCAATGTTTCCTCCCAAATCCTTGAATTGAGTCTTGCTGTCCTAATTGTACCATCTGCTCCACCCTTTGACCAATCACTGTCAACAGGAAGAAACAATAGGCCGATTGATCAAGTATGAGTCACACCCACCAATCTCAGAACCAGTTCTGTGGGAATCATGTGGATGTGGTTTCCCAAAGGAAAACTAAGGTGCTGGTCAGGTAGATGGGCAGGCCACATGACAATGACCAGTCAGCTTGCCTGTTCAGACTTACTCCAGCTTGTGGAAACTGAGGTTTGCAGAGAAGTACTGAGCTTTGCTTATGATGCTCTGATCTTTTCTTCAGGGAAAATCTTGTTTCCTTTGTTACTCTGTGAGCTCCTTCATGGGAAGAATGGGTCTTTGGTTGCTCTTAGATCTCCCTTGGGCACCAGAACACCCCGGAGCACACTGCAGGTACTTTATTTATATGTGTGGACACTGCTAGGAGACAAAGTATACATGTTCTAGACATTTGAAACCACTTCCTCTAGCTGAGAATGTTGGAATTCATGAGGTCTAAAGTTAGGAGTCATTCTGCAATATTGATGTTCCAAGATGAATACAGCCAGATCCCAATTGACAAACACTTAGGGCAGCCTCTCCCTATTTTTAGTTCAGATACTTATAGAACAACAACTGAGTGCACATACGCCCACTGGTCCACAACTGGGAATCACACAGTCTGATTCTGCCCAAATAAGGGTGGCAAAGAATGCCAGTCCCCCACTGAGAGTGGACCCAACAGATGGACATCACGGAGAGCTCTGGATGCTAGGGATGGGCTCTCAGTAGGTCAGATTCCAAGTGAGATGGGGCAAAGCCAGATCATGCCTTTAGCTTACTCCAAAAGAGCTCATCTTGGCTGGCATAGAGCAGCCCTGCCATTGTTCTCTGTGGGCAGTGGCGTAGCTGCCCTCTCATATTGCTAGGGGACACCAGACCTCAGGGTCATTTACTCTTTCAGGGAATTCTTGCTGTCTGGGTAGCCAATTGTGGCACAGGCTATGTGTGTAGGCACATGGTGAGGGGACTGCACAGAGGAGGCTGGAGCCCATTATTTTGGCAGGAAGAGGCACAGCATCAGTTACAAACAGGGCATCAGGGAAAAAGCAGAGGTTCTAGAATCAAGAGCCCATAGAGGGTCTTTGTGTAAGTTACAGAAAGCTCCTGTGATCTGAGCCTCACCTGACCACACATGGAGGCTGTGCAGGTGGAGGCTGTGGAAAGCCCCAGAAGATCAGCAGGCCCATCTAGAGGAAGCCCTCTGGTCTCTGTTGTAGGCACCAACAAGAACCATGCTCTGGCTCTCTGCACCAGCTCAGTGTGGACTGTCTGAGGGAGGCAGGTCAGTCAGGTCCATGTGGCTGGTGGTGGCAGTTGGATAAGGTCAAGCCAGATTTTGGCTATCACTGTTCCTGTTACTTGCCTCAGTGAATCTAGTGGTCAGAAGGGTTCCTGCATCACACAGCCCCACCCCTACCTCCAACCCTGCTCAGCCCCTCTTGGGATCTCCCCTAGGTCTGAAAGACTGTCCTCTGAGTGCCACGCTCCCTCCTTTTTGCATGAAAGCCCAGCTAATTTGGGTAGAGAAAGTGCGGTGTGGTACCTGCTGGCTCCCAAGGACTTTCTCCTGGGGTTTCTTGGAGATTGAGTCATCTGTGCTGGTCGACCAGCCCTGTTAGAGCCATCCATCCTCCAGTTACTTTGCAGAGTCAAGGGGCATCAGTGCTGGGGGCTCGCAGGGAGTCTATGGCCTAGGAGGGCGTTCCTCAGCTCTTGACCCTGGTAGCATGCTGGTATAGGGGCAGGGACTGGCTGAGCTGGTGTGCTCAGGATAGATCTTTACCCAGGGGCTTGTTAGTGTGCTGAGTTGGAGCTCCGGGTTTGCAGAGTGCTGCAGTGAGGGATTTCCCTCCCTGAGGAGGGGAAAGGCTGCCGCCGAGTGGCTGTCTGGTCAGCTAGCAGGAATTACTGGGCTCTTACAGGTTTGATCACACAGCTTGGTCCATGGTCCACGTTTGTCTTCCTACATGTGACCCTGTGGAGGAATTCACTCAGTCCCTAAGTCAGCCCAGATAGAGCCTCTTGGGGCCACAGATTGAGGAAGTCTCACAGCTTGGAGGGATACAGGTTTGAGGATGGAGGATGGTATCTAAAGACCTCACCCCCGTGGAGGCTGAGCTGAGCCCCAATCCTGGATTCCGGCCATTGGGAGAAGTAGAAAGAGCTGCATGGTCAAGACAGAACATTGGAGGATGAAGTTGATGAGGAAGGATGCTGGACAACCTGGTGAGAATAGATCTTGGCTGACCTCAGGGAGTTCAGGGTCAGGGTTGGGGTTCTTTGACATTAGGAATTTTCTCCTCTTTCTTTGTTCTCTCTCCCACGAATGGTCTGAGCTGCTCAGGCATAGCCTCTGCATGAGTCCCAGTGTGTATCTACTTGTCTCCTCTCTCTTTCTTGCTCTTTCTAATCTGTGTCCTCTCTTCTTTGTTTAGTTTCATCTCAGCTTAACATGAAGTTTTCATGCAGGATGCTTCACGTGGAGACCAATGCTCGCCAAGGACCCCTGAGGTGGGAACCAGGCAGAATGCTAGAGTGTGAGAGGTCGGGGGTGGAAGGGAGGTTGTCCCTTAGGGGCTTCACGTACCTAATACAAGCCTTTCTGCCTAATACAAGGGGATACCACACCTCTGAAATGGTTTTCAACCAAGCTGGAATAGTAGGATTGAGTTAAAGAAACAATGAGAACCAATATAATGAAGCTCATTGGGGTTCAGTTCAAAGAACTGACAAAATCAGGGACATATTGTATGCAGTAGTGTCTGTGTGTGAGTGGAGGTACCCCACAAAGGGACTTGTGCTCTATGGGATAGAGGGGCATTGCTGAGCTTCCAAAAAGACCTGTGATTAGAACATGGCTATGAACTTTTGCTTCAAAATCCCCAAGCTTTATTCATCTACCAAGTGAGGCTGCCAGAAAAATTGTGAACTCTATGAAAATAATCCCTCTCCCCACCAAATACACTCAGAATAAAGTTGTCCTCTATAGAGCTTCAACCTATCACATCACCCTGAGCATCACTGAGGGTGGCCAGGAGACTGGGTTGAGCGGAGAACATCTTTGCTGCTTTGGTGAGCAAGGGCCTCCCCCACCACACAACATGGTCTTCCCAATGAAGTCACCTGCTTCCTGCTTCTCTCCTGCCTTTGCCTGAATGTTTTAACATGAGTATCAGGTTTGGAAATCACTGTTCCGGACCCCAGGCCAAGCTTATCTAGCCTTTGGCCTTTGATGACTTTGGTGTTATTGTGTCTGTTAGCCTCCTTGGATTCACACTGGTGTCTGCAGGACTTTCTGGGCTGTCAGAGCAGATCTGGCACTTTCCATTTCTCTTGGCCTGTAGGTGCATTATCAGGTCCTCAATGCCTCTGGTTCCTCAGTCATCAAATGAGGGTGATAACAATGCCTATCTCACAGGGTTGTTGCTGTAGTTAATATATTAATGCCAGCCCCACACCCAATATTTTTCTCAAATATTCACCTTTCTCCAAGACTCAGTTCTCTGAATATCTCTTCTAGTGCCCATCTACAAGACCACGGGCTCTGCTTGTGAACAGTGTTTTCTGTCTTAAGGTTTCAAGGCCTGGCTAGAAGTATGAAGCACCCCTGTGGCATGGCCTATCACTATCATTCATTCATTCATTCATTCAACAGAAGTCTAATAATACCTCTTACAAGTATTATTGAGTCAAATGCTGGACCTTGTACAGCAGCCCAGTGAGGAGATCAGCCAGAAGACACATCAATGTGTTAATATGTTAATAGCTGAGAAGCTCTTATGCTGCTGCCTGGCACATAGTAGCATTGTACTAGTGTTAAAGATCGGGATGGGTAAGTTAGGGTGGGTAAGTACAGTGCTGCAGAACTCACAGGGGACAGCTAAGCCAGGTGCCAGTAGTCAGGGAGGAAGTGACCCGGAGCTAAGAGCAGGTAAGGGAGAAAATCAGGTCAGACAGAGGGCATCACCTAGAGGCAAGAGAAGCTCTGCCTGTGTGGGGAGCTGGAGGTAGTCCTGCTGTACTAAGGGGCCATGGAGTGACTGGGGAGCACGGAAAGGCAGGCTGGGATCAGTGTGGATCTTGGAAACTGTGTTAAAGATCTGGTTTCACTGAATTTGACAGAATGGTGTTCAATGTCCCAGTGAGGACCCAAGACTCTCTGTGGCAAGTAGAGGCTTATCTGTGTGCTCCTGAGAGTGGTGTCCCAGTGGGAGGGCTACCTGGGGCAGGCTTTCCCAGACTTGTGGGAGTGGGTGGACGTGGCTGGGGCACAGGAAGCTCTATTCTAACCAGGCTCTGGCTTTTCTTTCTTTGTAGATGTTGGAGGAGCTCAAGTCTTGGCAACGGGCAAACCTGCTGCAGCAGAAATTGGTAAGTGGCTGCTTCTGTTATCTGTGTGCAGAGTCGGAGGGTAGAAAAGGGGCCCTCCCAAAGGCACAGGCAGGTGGTTGCAGTGCTGGTACTGGTTCCCTGTTGCTCAGCACAAGACAAGGGCCATCCTCACCTCCAGGCCTGCCTGAGTGGCTAACAGCTCTATCCCTGCATTAGTGCTTGTCCTCAAAGGAAATGTGAGACATCAGGGTCACTTTCGTCTGCTCTGTGTGCCACATGAGCAGCTTCTGCACCCATAGTGCTTGCACTGTAGCTGTGACCCCTGGACAGCAGACTCTGGGTCCTCCTGCCACTTGTCCATGCAGTCCCTTCACCTTCATGGTTCCATCTCCACCCCACCTCAGAGACTTGCCTCACTTGCCAGATGGTGCAGTCTGCATGTTACGTCCTCTGAAAAAGCTCCCAACACCTCTGCCTCCATGCCAGCCCAACCACCCCTTTTATGTGGCATTAGTGAGCTCTTTGTCTGTCCTCCCCAATTGACTTCAGGCTCCTCAAGGACAAGACAGGGTCTTATTCATTTGCCTTCAGTGCTTACAGAGCAGGCAATTAACACATAGTCAATAAATGAATCAATGAATTAATGAAGGGATAAGTGAGACAGGGCCACAGGAGTCCAGAGAAATGAGCTGCCCACCACCTGGGGCTGGGGTGGCTGGTGAACTTAAGGCAACCTAGAAAGGTAGGAACAATTTCCACAGCTGATGGTGCTCCAGGGAGACAGGATGGGATTTGAGCCGAGTCTGGGAGAACTGGGGCTGGGCTCACAAGAGAGTGGAAAATTAGGCTAGCCTCAGAGGGTGGAAGCATGGAATTTTAAGGTCCATGCTTTGGACATCATCCTGAATGTACAGAGAGATGTAGGAGGCCTTTGCAGGGCAGTGACTGAAGTCCACTGTTCCATTCCTCCCCGCACTTCAGATTTCAAGTACGCCCTCATTGGGATGGCTGTGGGTGTCGCCATATCTGCCACCTTCCTGGCTCTGAAGATCTGCATGATCAGAAAGCACTTATTTGATAACGACTCTTCCGACTTGAAAAGTATACCCCTCAATGGTGAGGGACCGGTGACCTTCAGACCTGGCTCTGCCCTGTCTGAGGAAGGACAGTGTCCGGGGCAGCCATCTGGCAAGAAACACCGAGGATAACTCCGTGTCACTACTAAAGAAAGAACAAAACCCTCAAGCACAGAGCCCATCAGACTGCGGACTCAACATAAATGCAGTGACCTCTCTATCTCTGTCTCTACTTCTGTTTCTTTTCTCTTTTCTTTTCCCTATCTCTTAGTCTCTCTGTCTCTATGTCTCTGCCTCTTGATCTCTTGATCTCTTTCTCTCTGTACTTTTTCATTCAGTCGCTCTTGGCATTCCTGAGAACCCTGTTTCCTAGAGAAAGGCAGGAAAATAAGCTGTAATTGGCTTTATACAGATTTCTATTCTCTCATCCAAATGATGAAATCAGATAAAATCGGTCGAGGGTAACGAGGCTAGTTCTAAGGGTGCGTGAGTGGTGGGAAGTGCTGCCGACACTACTTATGTGGGTCAAACTTAATTTTCTTTTTTCATAAATTGGGCAAGTCCTACTCAACAGTGCTAAGTGGACCTCATGATCCAAACAGTGCTAGCATGGCCCTCCATGTCCTGTGGCACCTGCAGGGAAGTGCATTCCAGGCAGACACTGAGCAGCTGGTTTTTGAGTTTCCATAGCACAGTGCAACATTGATTTGCATCCCTTCTCTCAGGGTGTCACCCATAAAATCATCCTCTGTCATAGCAGACTGCTTAATGCAATGATGATAGTTTTCTATGAGATGTTTCTGAGGAGGAAGGAACCTCACTGTATTTCTGGAAAATGTGATTATGATCCATGAAGATATGCAGAAGGGGGTAATCTGGGCTGAAAGAAGAGGTGGCTTCTCAAGATTCTGGCTTGTCCAGTTGGATGAAGGGCCTAATAGGTTCTAGGAGTTTGCTTATCCTTGATTTGTTATCCCTGCAAATAAGGGTGAGGAAACAGCCTTTTCATCACACAGGAGCCAGACCCCAGATCTTTGAGGACATCAATGAGTGAGAAGACCCAGAAGCTGCAAATGGAGGGCCATTTGTAGGGCATGGGAGAGTGAGGACTCTAGAGAATACTCAACTCCCCCTCTGTGCCAAGCTAAGGAGGCACATTAGAAAGACCTAGATAGAGAGGCCCCGACAGTGCCAAAGGTGTGGGGGCAGAGCACTCAGTCCAAGACCACCCCTAGCAAGCGGCCCCAACTCAGGGAGCTTCTCACCAGTGCCCAGTGAGTTGACTTTGACCCCCTTCCCATGTACCAGTATTGGTCCTGAGTGAACTGTTTTGCCCATCACAAAACCTCCTTTCTAATGCCCTGATTTCTTTGTCTAGACACCATCCTGCTAAAGAAGAGAGCCCCAAGGTAAGGTCACCGCGGATATGGTCAGGGAGGGGTATCATGTTCCCTTGCGTCTTAGCCATTTTACTCCCTTGCCTGTCATTTCACCCTTCCTTCCTTCCACCTTCCTCTGGCATACTTTCCAGAGGACTATAATACACTCAACAGCCCCTTCCTTCTACTCTCCCCTCTTTTGGACCAGTGGACATATGTCACAAGAGTGGGGACCACAGGATAGAGTAGCCAAAGGGAACTTGGGTTTGTCTTTGCACAATCTGCAGTAGATTCTGCTCTCCACTCCCAGAACACTCCAGTGTATCTCCCCCCTCCTCGAACTCAGAATGAGGTCCCCAGCTCCTGACATGACTCACTTGAGAGGCCACACATGGTCTTCCCAGGTTTTCTGGTTTCTCTTCTGGTATCCAGACATGTTGCTCTCTGCACAGAGCCCATGTTCTCATGGACAGCCCTGCCTCAGGACCTTTGTGCATGCTGTTTTCTATCATGTGGAATATGCTATGCCCATACAGCTATGAGCCTTGCTCTCCTTTCTTTCACATCTCTGCTTCAATGTCACCATTTCATTTTAGATGGTCTGTTTAAAATAGAATCCCCCTCAACCCTATCCATCATTCTCTTCCCCTTACCTGACTTTATTTTTCTTTATAGTTATTTGAACTAGTTAGCATTATGTGACATGTTGTATATTTTTATAGTTTCCTCCCTAAAATGTAAACTCCTTAAGAGTGGGGTCTTCTTGTTAACCTCTGTAGCCACAGAACTTAGCATAGTACCAGAGACAGAGTGGGTACTCATGCATGAGTCAAATGAATATATGGTCATAGGCCTGGGCTAGGTGTAAAGAGAACAGAAGGAACACATGCTCCCTCAGTCTACAGGGGAGACAAGCAGGCCATAGGTAATGGGTGCATAGTGGGTGTGGGTGTCATGGGCAGGCTAGGCATGTGTTGCCTTGTGTCTTGGGGTGCCTAGGGCTACACAGCAAGCAGGGAATGTCCAGGTGGGCCTCAGTGTGTAAGTAGAAGGACAAAGAGGAGCACATATAGGCAGAGAGAACCTTGGCATGTATAAATGTCAGGGATAATTGTGGAAACCCTGCAGCCAGCAAGTGTACAGTGTGGTAGAAACAAATGTTCCACGTAAAGATATGGGGAGAGGAGATTGGAGACCTGTGGGGGTCAGAGGGGCTTGTGCTAAGAAAGGAGATTAAAATCTATCCTGAAACTTCTGATCACCCATTGATAGATTCTAATTAGGGGAGGGATGGAATAATTTTTGTGGTATAGTAACATGGAAGAGGGGCCCAGCTAGAGCCAAAGAGATTCTGGGATAGAGATGCTGACCTGCTGCAAAGCCCTGCTGAAGCAAGGCCAGTGGAAGTGGCAGAGAAGACAAAATATGGGAAAGATATTACAAAGGCAGCTGGTCCAGGAGCTGGGGGCAGATGGAATAAGTGTGGCCACTTGAGGAGAGAAAGGAATCTAGCACAGCTCAGAGCTTTCTGATCAGGGGGCTTGCTAGATAGTGTCCTTTGGGAAGTTGGTGGAGGAACAACTTTGGGCAATGGGCTGAGGGAGTGAAAGGGCAACTTCTTTTTTGAATATGGTGATCCTGGAGTTTTTGGAGACTTCTAAGTAAAGGAGATGTTTAGTAAATGGCTAGTACTTAAGACAAATGTCTGGGCTGAGACAGGAAATGCGGCTTTCAGAAATGACCTGAAGCACATTCTTGCCCTCAAGTTCTTCTATGGCACCTGGGACTTGATAAATAGTGTCTATTGAAAGAATGGATAGATTAATAAATAATTGAGAGATGGATGCATGGTGCATTGTGGTTAGAGGTCGTGGTCCACTAGCTGTCACAGATTCATGCCCTTGGGATAAGCTGGAAATGGACTTTCTTGAGAAGTTCATATTTTTGAGAATTTCTTCTTCAGATATTCTGTTGCTGACAGTTTTCTGATTGGGAGGTCCTGAAACATACTTCAACTTCATCTCCAAGTATTTCCTCTTTTCTTCTGTCTTTTGACTCTTATTATCCTTTTCCTTCTCCCCTCCTGCCACCTCCCATTCCTCACAATATGTCTGGTCACCCCAATGGGGCCTTGGCTGGAGAAGGTGGAGGTGTATAAGGTGACCATATAACTTATCTAAAGCAGGACTTCGTAAGAGTGAGAAAGGACACTGCTGATAATTTTATTGGGATGGTGGGTTCAAGCTTGGACTGTCCTAAGATGAATGGGATGTGTGGTCAACCTAGGTTGAGTAGGCCTAGAGATCTCCAGACCCTGTGGCCACACAGTTCTCCTCTTACTGGTTATGTCACCTCCTCTGCACCTGGACAGGGGTTTTTGGAAATGTGTGGTAGAATTAGGGGTATTTCTACTCATCCTGGGCTGGAGGAGAAGGAATACCACGTGTCCCATTCCACAGACACATACACACCCACACATAGCCAAACTTATGCTGGCTGAAGTTGTCACATTCCTCTTTATAGAAGAAATATGCTGAACTGCTCTCAGTGGTACCAAATCAACGAGTCTACTCATGCAGGAAAGTAAAATTCCAAGCCAGTCAGCTCTTCATACTCCTCTCTGTCCTTAGATGCCTTCTCCCTGGGGGCATTCTGTCTTCTTCTAGACCTTGGGGAACTGGCACAGTGCCAGATTTACCTGAATGTGTAGCTGTAACCCCTGGCCAAGAGGGCATCCTAGTTCCTGCTTGCCCAAAGGCAGCACTGACCTGCTGTGGGTTGGGCACTGAGTCAGCGTCTCCCACTATATAATCAGGGCAGACTGACCTTCATCAGGGTTTTCAAACAGGGCTTTTGGGGACTGGGTCACAGGGAGACCATGGATTGAGAAGGGAAGTTGGAGAGGAATTATTGGCTTCTAGTGGAGGAGAACCTGGAAATAAGTAGGCGACTTCCAGAGCCAGAACCTATGCTACCTTTATGGGTCCAGGCAGCTCTGTTGTGGAGACTGCAGAACAGGAGTCAGCTTTGGATAGGTGGGCTATGTCTGCCGTGACAAAGACCCTGCTCACAGCATGGCCTCAGGTGGAGGCTGCAGAGTGCTGTGGCCAACTCAGACCCTGTGGTCAGGAGAGTTGAACCATATGAATAGTCCAGCACAATGACCTTCTCACATCCCTCAGAAAGGACTTTGGTGTGCTAGAGCTCTGCCCAGCACAACAATACCACCTTGGCCATCCAAACTGCTGGTCTATGTTAAGGGCCACTTTGAGTTAAGCCACTCTGCTTTGGAAACTCCAGTGCCTCTGGAAATCTTCGAAGCTTGATACAGACCCTGTTTCAGGGACATCTTAGCCATTGAATTCACAGTGTGACATTTTACAAAATCTGATTCTTAATCCTGGTGTGTGTGTGTATACATGTGTGTGTGTGTGTTTGTGTGTGTGTGTGTGTGTGTGTGTGTGTGTGCATGTGTGAATGTATGTGCAGGTATGTGTGAGTATATATGTTTGTGTATGTGACAATTCATAATTATCGACTGTGACACATACATGTGTGTGGGAAGATGCTACTGTGAGCAATACAACACAAGCCAGTTTAAAAACTGAATGAACAACCACTGTTTTTATGTTCCTACATATGGTCATGTAAGAGGAGCATCTCTGTTGCATGTGTTTGGAAGTTCTGGATTATTTTGAGCCATCAGGACTATAGGAGGCACTTTCTATAATTCAGGCAAGATGGTTGCAATAGTTTTTCAATAACAAACATTCAGAAAGCAAAGCACAGGAAAGAGAAAAAGAGAACATGAAAGGATACAAGAGGAAGGCAGGTGGGTGGAGAAAGAAAGACCAGAAGTGAAGAGGTGGGAACTGGGAAGTAATGACTGGAAGAGAGTTTGTAACCCTGGGAATATGTGCTGGGAGATGTTCTTGGCAGGTATAATAAAATAGCTTCTCTACAAATAGAGGGACTTTCAAAGAGAGGGGAAGCACACTTCAACTTTCCAAAACTAACGCTAGATGGAGTCAGGTTGAGTCATGCAGTTAGACCTGAAGAAAAAAGTGCACGAGAAGCAAGCTACTTTCCTGCCGCAAAATTTTGCTTGTGCTTTCTGTCATCCAAGACTTATTTAATGAATATCCTATTTCCTTGTTCTGCAGGCTAAACCGCAGTTTCTCCAAAAGGTGAGTTGTAAGAGTGATCACTTACTAAAAGGATAGGCAGTTGCTGGTGGCTTTTCTGCATGCCTCCTCCCTGGCCACGTGGACAGATAGAGATTGCTGACTGTTGACCAGAAGTCCTTGTGCAGGACAGATGTAAAACCAGGAATCAGCACCACTTTGGGATGTGCAGACAGTTCTAATATGGTGGCACTTTGGCAAGACTTACTGCGAAGCTATGTGGGGGGTGGCATTTGCCCAATTAAGTAGTTATTTTTCTTTTTCCAGTTTCCTTGGACCACTTTCTCTCTGACAGTGGTCAACCTAACCAATTGCCAATTTAGTCTATTTGATGAAAAAAAAAATCCAAAACATCTCTTTGTCATCAAGCTATAGATTTGGCTGAATATTTGCTTCTCAGAGCTGCTTTGGACAATTGTCTGTATGTGCAGGATAGTCTGCAGGAGGAAGGATCTTGGATCCGCTCGCTTAACGAGCCCTACTCCTAGGAATGAAGGCATCTTCAGTGGGTTTATGGAATTCTTTCACATTCTCCAGCCCCAGTTTCCCTGATCTCAAACACCATGCATGCGCTGCTCCACTGAGAATTTGCTCCCTTTCTGACCAACCAGGATGATCACACAGGTTTGAGACGTCTCTTGACTTCTCCCTCCCCCTCTTGCTTTTTGAAAATTCTTAAAATCCACAGAAAAGTTGAGAGAAAAGTGTAATCAAAATATATGCACCCTGGACCTGGACTTACTAACATTGTACCCCCCTGGTTTCATCCTTGTATACAAAAATGTTTTTCGGTTGATCCACTTGAAAGTTAGTGTAGATATCATGATATTTCACCCTTAAATACATTACCATGTTATCTTCTACATAACCACAATTTTATGAACACTCCAAAGACAATGCTAATTCAGAATAATCTATTAGACAGTCTGTGTTTGAATTAATCCAATTGTCTTAAAAGTATCTTTTATCTCTCAATTTCCCAGTCCAGGAGAAATATTTGTATTTGATTTTGTCTCTCTGACTCTCAGTGTTGAACAGGCTCTCTGCCTTTTTCTTCCCATGATGCTGTCAAGAACCTAAGCCAGTTGTCTTATCCAATGTCCCATTTTTAAGATTTGTCTGATTGTTTCCATCTGAGTAAATTCAGGTTGAAATTTTGTGTGTGTGTTCCAGAAATACCACAGAGGTGATGATGTGTATCTTTTATTGTATTGCATCAGGAGGCACAAAATGCCAGACCGTCTCTCTGTTGGTGATGCTTTCTTTGCTAGTTTTCTGCATTGTAGAGATTAGAATTTTTCCCTTTGTAATGAGTAAATAATTTGAGAAGTAGTACTTTGAGACCTTGTGAAAATCTTGACCCTCAATAATTCCTCATCCAATGATTTTACATCTATCCATGATCCTGCTTGAATCAGTTATTGCCATTGGTGATTACAAAATATTGACTTTCTAATTGTACCATTCCATCTACATTTAATAGCTAACATTCAGAAGGAAGGCTTTTTCCTTAACCCCCTTTTCTCCATCTCCTACTTGTTGAACATTATTACTATGGTCGTCAATGCATTTTAATTAATTGCCATTATGATTCTTTTTGGTGTTCCAATTGTTCCTAATTTGGCCAGTGCAAGTCAGTTCTTGGTGGCTCTCATGCCCTTTCAACAGTTTCTTGTTTGTCTTGTCTTTGAAGATTTTCTACACTTCTGACACAACACAACATCGTAAGGTCAGTTTGTATTTCTGCAACCTGAAATCACCTGCTTCCCCAAGGACCCTCATTTTTTTTCTTTTTCTTTCTTTTTTCTTTTCTTCTTCACTTTTTTAAAAAACAAGATCTGGGTACAATGTGTGCTCAGGGGTACTGAGTTTCTTTGCTTGTAGGACCTTTAAATGGACAGAATCAGGAAATACATATTTGAATCCCAAACCCAATACCAAAAGCTCTTTCCTAAACTTTCCCCACTCCACATTTCTATCTTGCTTCCTCCAAAAGTAAAATTGTTGGTTCTCAGCCATATAAATATTTTTACTCATCTGCTCTATCCTGTAATGCAAAATATACTCCCAGAAATTACAGCACTACACAGCTGAAGACCTACTTAGTAAGCTTGAAGATTTCTTTGTAGTGCTTTTTGGCCTCAAAGTGGAACCCTATGTGTGTGCACAGAGTATTATGTTCAAATTGAACTGAAAACTTTCTCTGTGTAGTTATGGTGTTAATTGGATAGAGAATCATAAATGATTATTTCAGTGTGTATGCTATTTTAAGATTTCATTTTAAAATCCTTTTACATTTTACTTTTGAATATGTAAAACATGTACATGGTTCACAGGTAAAGCTACGTAAACAGGTAAGCTCGGAAGAATCTTAGTCTTGTGACTGTCCACCCCACCCTGTTCTCATTCAATGCTTTGAAGTTACTGTTTTCAATAGTTTCTGATTTATCTTTCCTGTGCTTTTATAGAAATATATTTAATTAAAAATACTTTTACAAATGCACACAATGTTTTATTAAAAGAATAAGTTTACATATGTGTATATGTGTGTATATACACACATATGTGCATATATATATTTTTTTCCAGTATTTGTATAGTTTTATTTTTTATTTAGATCTCTGATATATTTGGCATTTATTCTTGTGTGTGGTATGAACAATAGATCCAATTTTATCTCTTTCCTAAATGGTAATCAAATTATTTCAATATGTTTTTTTAAAAACCCTATTTTTCCAATGTTTCATTTGCCATTTTTATAATGTTTTAAATTTCCATATTTACTAGGACTATTTCTAGACTTTTTCTTATTCTTCAGTGGTGTTTGTGACTAATCATGTGCTAGTACCACACTCTTACCTAGAAAGAAAAGTTTCAGGGTGTGCTCTGCCATCTGGTGGGGCTGGTTTCCCCTACCTGCACACACACATTGTGCTTCCTTTTCAGGGGCACATCCTTATTATTCTATTCCAGCTATTCCTGTATAGTCTTTTTTTCCATATGATTTTTAGAATCAACTTCAGAGTCTTTCTACAGATGCAAACATATTGGTATTTTTATTGGAGTTACATTGCATATATGCATATACATACTCAGTTGAAGATTATTGTGCATATGCATATACATACTCAGTTGAAGATGTTAAGTGTTTCTCCATGGAGACGTGGTCAACTTAAAAAAAATTAATTTTTAAAAAAAATTTCAGATTTGTGGAACACATACATTCCTACTATGGATATATTATATAGTGGTGGGGATTAAGTCTCAGGTGGCCCATTCCTGAGTTAGTGAATATTGTGCCCCGTAGATAGTTTCTGAACCCTAGTCCCCTCTACCTCCCCCCTTATGAGATCATTTTTTTACAAGTTTGCCTTTGTGTGTTTCAGAAGTTTTCATTTCTTATAAGTTTCCTGATTTCTTAGTTTATTTTCAAGTATTTTATGTTTTTGTTGCTCTTTAAATGGAGTTTCCATTATATCTTCTACCTCATCATTGATTATATATTGATTTTTTTGGTGTATTAACATTATAGTGACTGCCTTATAGAATGCTTCTATTGTTTGTGTTTGCTTTCTCTGCAATCCATTAAGTTTTCATGATATCATGTCATCTACCAAAATCTAGATCTTCTTTTCCAACTCTAATGCCTTTAATTGTTTTCTCCTCTCTGATTGCATTGGCTAAAACCACCAATGTGAAATAATAGTGGAAACTGCACATATTTATCTCGTGCCTGATCTTGGTGGAAAATCCACTAGTGGTTTCCATTAAGTTGCTGCCTTTAGGGCTAAAGTACATATATTTTACTCTGTCAAGAAAGCATTAATTTCTATTTTACTGAATTTAAAAAATCAGAAATAGGTGTTGGATTCTGTCTAAGCTCGCTTCAGTATTAGCAGGGATTAATGTAACCTCAACAGATAAAATACCCTGGGTCTCTCATGGGCTAACCAGAATGAACAGGCACATTTGTTACAAGCTTTACTTCTGTTTTTGTTGTTTTCCTTCTCTCCTTGTTAGTCTATATAAATTTTTGGAGGATTTGGTGAAAGATTTGAGTTTAGCAGCCACTAATTTGTATGATATCCAAAAATTTCTTGTTTTTTGTCCTGATTCCAATCCAGTGTGTCATGCAGGCTCATTCATCTAGTCCAGCCAGCAAATGCCATCCCAGACTCTTCCTGGCTTATATTTTCCTGCATCTGGTTCTCTAGTGGCTGCTGATATGCCCATCTATGGAGGTGTCACTGCTGGTCACAGAACAACTTCGTTCATGACATTGTTGAGCAAGTGCCCCTTTCCCTTGCTCAGGTCTTCCAGGGGTGGGAGGAGGCTGCTCTCCTGGGTTGCCCATCATTTTGGGCATCAAGTATCTCAAGTGCAAATTCTGGCCAGGTCCAACCTTTTTAGATTACTTCCTTAAAACCTGAAGGTGCCTTTTAGCGCAAGGCTTGTAAAGACAATAGGAAAGACGAACTCTGTTGGTCTCTGGGCCTCTAGACCAGCTGTCTTAAACCCCATGTTCCTCTGGGTTCAGCATCCTTTAAAGACGTAGCACAAACACCAGCATTTGAGGCCCTCACTTGGAGTCCCTTCTTCCACTTCTTTCTCTACTTCCCTTCATCATGACTTGACTGTTCCCAAAGTCTTGTTTGTCTTTAATGTTGGCTCTACTGCCCTCAAGTTTTATAGCCCTGACCATGACCTGTGTCCTTGGCCCTCAAATATGGAATAGGTAAACATATGCTGTCCATGTTATGAACTTTGACTTGGCTTGCTGCTTCTTTGACTTTGACTTGATGCATCACTTTTCCCTGTCTTCTCGCTGTTGCTGCCCCTTCTCTCATGAGGAGATGTTAGTTAGATATCAAGAGATTGTGACTGAAGATGCACAATGGAATGTCATGAGCAATTATGCATCATTCAAAGTAAGCATATATATATATAATTTTATTATAACTATAGCTAATGTCTATGTGAAACTATAGTAATGCGTGAATTTGATCTCAATGTATAGAGGTGTTGGTGAGAGTCTTAGCTGTGAGTGGACACAGCAGAATCTCTGTCCTACTTTCAGCCCAACTTCTATTGTATCAGGGTCTAGTTTGTTGACTCATCTTTTTCCAGTGTTCCTTTGCTTTTACACATCTATGCTGTCCTTACCTTCTGTTAAAGCTGATACACCAAATATGGAGAAGTGTCACCTTCTGTAACCGCTTGTGGTTCAGACTTGAAAGTATTATTTTCCAACTACATCCCCATTGGTCTGTCTGCCTTGTTCTTCTTAGCATCTGCCTAGATCTGTGCAAACTCTTCAACTACTGAAAGTGACACTCTCCCCAAAATATGTCCATTAGCCTCAGGGAATGACTTCTTCCCTTTTTGTCATCAAAGTGGATGAAGTTTTGTGGACTTGGGTTTCACAGTCAAGAAAAAAAACCTTCAGGTTGAGCTCTCCTCTTTACCCAGAGGTCACTGGTCTTCAGGTTCCTTTCTATGTACTACAAGAAAATGTTCCACTTTGCTGATTTGCTGGTAGACTTTTTCATACCTTTCTAATGTTTTGTGTCTCATTAGCACATGCAAAAATTAGTTAGAGCATAGTCGCTCTATGCTCTATAAGTCAATAAGTCTTCCAGATTGTTCTCTTTCTTTCCAGAGATGTACAAGTGATTGAGCTATAGGTGATCAGCTGTGTCAGGAGAGGTTCAGTCATGCAGATAAATGTGCACATTCTAGGGATGTTTTGAATTTGAATGCACAAGGCTGTGATTGACCTTCTCATGGACTCAATACTAGAGTCAAATAATAGAAGGAATAGAATCTACAACACCCCTAACCTGAAGGAAAATATTGCATTTCTTCTGCAAGAAGCTGACTGCACATAGGGATGGCATGAGCACATTAGGAAAAAAACCATACCACCTGACCTGGTCCCCTGTGTCAGAACTGTTCTTGCTTCTGCAATGGCATCATGTCCATGTCAGTTGAACCTACTCATAGCAAATGGCTCGTGGAAATGGGAGCAGACCCAAGACACAGCTTCCTGAATACTACCATCTTATCAACAGCCAGCAGAACTTTCTAGATCTATTGACCTCACTTTCTTAGCTGCTGAGAGAACCTCATATTAAAGACAAACCAAGTAACCATTCAAGAGCCCTGAAACAGGAGGAACACAGGGCATTCTCCAGTCCTATTCATGAAAGATTGACCTTGTGAAGGGGGAAATGGTAGGTTGGGCTGGAGTGGAAGGAAGAACCTTGGTGGTCATGGACTTTCAAATACAGACCTTCAAATGATGGAGCCAACATTTCTGTAAACAAGAGAGCAGATTCTGTGCCCTGTGGGAGGCTATGCAAATGTAAGCTATACAATTATTTTGTGGTTATTATTACAATGTGAATGGTTTTTACATAAAAGACACAATTGGCAGAGGCTTAACAAAACCCACATCATCCTATGATTGCTATCAAGCGACGGTTCTGTGGAACAGGCCCCCTGAACATTTCTCTCCCCTGCAATGCTAACCCTGTATTTCTGGGGTTTAATTATGGAATACTCTTTGCCTTTTCATTCAACCGAAATTGGGGTGGCTCTCCTCAGATTGGACTCGTATGTGATGAAAGATGAACTTTATTTTAAAATAAAGTGCTGTGCTATCATAATTTGCCTGGATTCCCAGGGCATCTTTTATCTGACTTGATAACGATGTTGTTCATTAGCAGTCTTTGTTAACTGATAACCAAGAGCAGTAATGTGATACTCATAAGCAATTTTCTGTGTGTAAGATAGAATAAGCCATCTTGTAAGGGATCTGGTAATTGATTTGCTTCCTTTAGCAGCATTTTAATTAAGGCATCTGGTTTGTGAATGGCAGGAACACTTGTGAACTGAAGGTGAATGCTCTTGTATACCATTGTTCTGTGTTCTGAACACAACAGAACCATAGGGTCCTTTCCCCAGCTCTACCTTGCCACATATCTTCCCCAGTTTCACTTTAGTTATACATAAGTTTTCCTGTAGGAAAAATAGAAAGAAGTATGCTAGAGACCTGTGTCTTTTCCTTGGGTTATAAAGGCTGATATGATTTAGGAGACAGAATGGGCTGGTGGGCCCTAGTATTGAGGTCTCCCTGGCTTTTATCCTTTTATCCTAAACTCGAGGTCAAGGGCTTCCTCCTGGAAGATCTTCCAGTCCTATTGGAAGCTCTCTGAAGTCCTTCTTGGCAGCTCCTCTTTAAAGGGGTGGCTTGAGAATGCAGGCTCCAATGGGCAGTAGCTCCAATAGACAATAACTTTAGGAAGTGATTGGAAGTGACCCTAATAAGCCACAGCATCTTGAGTCAGGGCCATTCCAGCATAGTTGCCTCACCCTGTGGTTTGGAATTATGCTGGTGGAGGCCAGGGAGTGGGATAAATCTTGCCCTCCCAGCCCCATAGGTTCTAAAGACCCCAAAACACATACAGCCACCCTCCCCTCACACATAGCCCACTGCATCATGAAGAACATCAAGTCTGAAGGAAAGCAGATGAATAATTTTCAAATATTGGGAGAAATAGCCATCCTTACATAGGTGAAGCGGGCTGCAGGTGGCAGCAGCCAGCCAGGATCTAACAGTGTGGGTGCAACATGGGGCCTTCAGGTCTCAGTTCCAGGAGGGGAAGGTGAGATGGAAGAGAGTTATCTGGCAAGGTCAATAAATTAAAAATCATCTATAGATGAGTCAACGAATATATCTATAATTAAAATATGTTTACATGGATTCTATGAATTAAAATCAATAAACAAACCATTTAATAAATATATGTATGTGTAAATTCCTCTATGTGTTTTTTTTTTCCTGTGTGTGTTAAAAGTACACATATCATACAATTCTAAGGAATGTACAGCGGTTTGGAGAAATTAATAAAACTATTTTCTAAGCAGGCGGGGTTGCTTAGATAGAGGAAGGCTGAGCTGAGCAAGGCTGAAGATGGAAACTTTTCATCGTCAAAGTTGGGAAATAACTTAGAGGTAGACAAATCAGTTAGGCAGGTAGAGATAAAAATAGCAGGACTGGGCAACCCCCTCAGGTCCCCTCCTACTGTGGGAGCTTTTCTGTCCTCTTAATAAATACTGCTTTAAAAAAAATAGCAGGGCTATTGTGATGTTCAAATGTCATGACATGTCAGCACCCTCTGCAGCCTCTAGGGTTTCTCCAGTGTCTGTGCCCCAGGACAAGTGAGAGGCAAGCATAGTTCCCGTGGAGTGCTGGTGGCAAAGATGCAAAGGATGGGTGGGTTTGCGTGGACTTTGGGGGAAATGATACCAGGATTTGTTGATGGATTGATCTGGGCAATGAGGGAGAGGGAAGTTAGCACCACACCCAGGTTCTAGAGACATGGGTTCAAGTGGAGAACTCAAGGAGCACTGACCTTGGGAAGGGTCTGAGGCTGGGTTTGGGGTCTCCTACACTGACTATTAGGGAACCAAGAATGGAGAAAGCAAACCCCACATTTCTGCAGGTGTTGAAGTCTGTGAATTGGAGTTACGAAACACATATGTCAGAGATTACAATAGAATGTGCTTGGGGATTTGCAGGAGAAGGCAGGGAGAACCAGTCTGGAGGAGTTGCGGGCTCCCTGAGATAGAGTGTACAGGCAGGGCTGCTCAGATAGAGGGAGGCAAAGTGCAGCAGAGCCTGCAGTTGCAAGCAGAAGGGGCGGTGGCCTGTGACAGGAAGTCCATACAGGGCCAAGGCCAGGCTGTGACTGATTCTTTCCCTTCTGGATCATTTGTCATAATCTCAGACTTATCAGACTAATTAATCATCCTTCAAAGAATATGATTTTTCACTAGTACATTATTGCCAGATGATAAATGGGTGGCACATCTCCTAGGCTGTATATACAGATACAGGGAAGTAACTCAGTCCGTGAACATCACAGCCTTGCTTAGCAGGATACTTTAGGCCAATTGTTCATGGTCCTGGGTTTTCATGATTTTCTGTTCACTGGTGGGCTTATCTCTGCACAGTACAGAGTAGCAGTAGAGTATAGGGAGATTGACAAATTATTTTGTGCTATGCCTTAGTTTTCACATCTGTAAGTGAGCTAATAGTTGTGCTTACCCCCATAGGATCTTTGTGAGAATTTAATGAAGTAATGTATGCAAAGCTCTTAGTACACTGACATGTAGTCAGCATTCACTAAACATGAGCTATCCTTATAATTGGTTTTGGTCAACTTTTATCCAATTTTAAAATTTAGAGAAGGTGAGATAATGGAAGTTTTTTATTATTAGAGATTAGTTTCTTTATATAGTTTTAAATTTTAGAATTGTTTTAGACTTACATTAAGAGTTGTGAGGGTAGTTGAGAGAGTTCCCATATGACCCACACCCAGCCTTCCTTCTCCCCCCTCCCAATTATTTTTCTTAGTTCAGGGTCTCACTCTCTTGCCCAGACTGCTGTACAATGGCACAATCATGGCTCACTGCAGCCTCCGACTCCTGGACTCAAGTGGTCTTCCCTTCTCAACCTCCTGAGTAGCTGGGACCAGAGGAGTGCACCACCATGCCTGGCTGATTTTTTTTTGGGGGGGTGGGGATGGGGACAGGGTCTCACTATGTTGTCCAGGCTAGTTTTGAACTCCTGGGCTCAAATGATCTTCCCATCTCTGCCTTCCAAAGTGCTGAGATTACAGGCATGAGCCACCACACCAGGCCTCCTCTATTATTAACATCTTCCATTGGTATGATGCATTCATCACAACACATGAGCCAATATTGATACATCACTGTATGTTTGGATTTCTTTAGTTTTTACCTAATGTCCTTTGTCTGGTCTAAGACTCCATCTAGAACACCACATGACATTTAGTCAACATATCTCCTTAGATTCCTCTTGGCTGTGATAGTTTCTCAGACTTTATTTGCTTTTGATGACCTTGACAGTTTTGAGGAGCACAGGTCAAGATTTGTAGACTGTGGCTGATCTCAGGAAAAAAAAGACACAATGGAACAAAATATTTTTTCAGTTAGAGGATGGTAGCAAGCACCTGCTACTTTTATCATACCCTATGGACACTTTATTCATTTAAATTATGTCCTCATCTCCAAGCCTAGCTTTTATAGACGAAGCTGCACTCAATATAGCAACCCACCACAACTACCAGTGTGCTCCTTTGTGGATGGAATAGTTTATTCAGCACTGTTGGGAGTGTAGTATGTGACCCAACTGCCTGAGTCTACTTCCTCCTGATCTACCACTATCTGTGTGTGACTTCTGACAGGTAACTCAACTTTTTCTTAGTTTTCTCATCTGTAATGAGAATGATGACCACAGAGGGCTGCTATGACTTTCCAATGCGTTATTGCATGTAAAACATGTGGAGCAGTGTCCACCACTAATAACTACTC